AGAGAGAGAGAGAGAGAGAGAGAGAGAGAGAGAGAGAGAGAGCTGTGAAACCCAAGTCTCTGTGGAGATGGTAGTCTTCAAGGTAAGATGCTTCACCCAGAGCTGCTCAGCCAGTCAGGGTAGAGGTCATCACTGACCTTTCTGGAGGTTATCACTGTTCTGATATTTTCGCTATAAATGAGTCTTGTGTGTTATAGAACTTTGTACAAATGGAATCACACAGCACACATTCATTTACATGTGTCCTCTTTCATAGCACAGTGTTTGTTTCTGATGTATTAATTTTATCTTATGTGCATGATTGTTTTTCCTTCATGTATGCGTGTGTACCATAATCATGCCTGTTGCCCTTGAAGGTTAAAACAGAATGTTGGTTCCCCTGGAATGGAGTTACAGATTGTTGAAAACCACTATGGGTTGTGGAAATATAACTGAGATCAACTGTTCGAGTGACAAGTGCTCTTAACTGCTGAGCCCCACCACAGTGTTTTAAAGATTCATTCCTGGTCTCATGTGTCCTTTCTAGTTTTGGTGCACACTAGATTCTATGAGTGTAACACATTTCATTATGCAGTGTCCATAAATAACTGTGCAGAAGCCTCTCCCATGATTTTCTTTCTTTCTGGAAAGTGCCTGTGATGGCACAGCAGGGGCTTCAGAGTGTGTGTCTGCTGGGTTTTGTAATGAAGTTTTCATCCAGGTTTTCCCCCTCACATTCAAACAACACTGAATGGGATTTCTAGTTGCTTTGTATCACCACCTACATCCATTGATAGAAAGAGTCTCCAAGTTTGAAGCCCTATAATTTGTAACTCCTGCACAGCTCTGACAGGTTCCCTGCTACTCTCAGAGTGATGTTTGGCTTTTGGGTTGGTCTCCATACTTTTTCTTTACTACAGAGGGGCAGCCCCGAAAACCACCTCCTGACTACAATTCCACACTTCTGCTCTACTTTCACTTTCACTGACACCCCTTTGGATTTCTTATTTGATGTATTACTTATTTCTAAATACTTAGGTATTTCCCCACTGGCTCTGTCACCAACTACACAGAATCATGGAGTTGGTCTGGTCTAGCTGCCTTGAGAAGTATGTGTCCTAGATTTTTCAGATTAGAGTCTGTGGCTCCTGGGGTACTGTGTGTCTTTCAGTTCCTGAGAAACCAAGGTACTCCCTCAGGCAGTGAAGCATTCCAGATGCCTTATGTTACTCTGTGTTTCTTAGAAGTCAGCAGAACATAGAGAAGCTTGACAGAAAAATTAGTCTTACACATTTATCTTGTGTGCCCTGTATATCTTGCAATGACACTTGTCCTCTTCCTGGAAACCACCATTGCATTCTGTTTCTGATGAGGTCATAAAGAATCTAATATTGCTTGATTAGTCTTTATAGCTTGCAATGAAATTGTCTCAGCCTCGGTCTTGCTTTGACTCCTCTGTCCTGACCTGGTTTTCATTTCTCACTGACCTTATCAGGAGACCCTGGCTTAGTAAATAAGCACTGGCACTTAGAATTGACTTTCATTCTGCCGCTTATGTCACAAACTTGTTGAGATTTGTTTTATGGCCTAGAATGGGGTAAAAGTTCCAAGGCATCTCAAAAAGACCCCATGTCCTGAGGTTGTTGTGTGGGGGCTCCTGCAATGTGGAGGTCTCACTGGTCTGGAGGCTGTTAGTCCTCACTGATGTCTGTCTTCTTGTTCTGTTTATTACTGAGAGGACTGAAACATCCCACTGTAATAAAGTAGTTTACCCTTTCTTGTAGTTATATGGTTTTCTTTGTGTGATTAAAATTTCTATTCCTAGGTGGGTTTTTCTGCCACAATGACTGTATTTTAGCTCTATTGTAACCCCCTCTATACATCATGAAGTAAGTTTCTTTATTCATGCTATTAACTTTTGCTCTGAGATTAACACTGTCTAATATGAAAAGAGTTAGTTGCTCCAGCTTTCATTTGATGGTTAGTGTGGTGTATTTTTTCATTATTTACTGTCAGTCTAATTGTATTTCTGTATTTTAAGTACATATTTTTGTAGGCAACATGTATGGCTGTGCTTTTGTAGTCTGGTTATGTTTTATTCTGCAAACCTAAAAAATGTGCAGTGGTTAATTTAGATATTCTGACTGTATTTCCTGTGGCTATTTCATCTTCACTTTTGAACAATAATTTTGTTGTATATAGAAATCTGGGTAATAATTTTTTCTCCCAGTACTCAAAAGTTGTTGCTTCTTTCCTGTTAGCTTTTGTCCTAATAAGAAACCTTACTTTATCTTTGTTCTTCTATATATGACGTGTAATAGAATAACCTTCAGACAAGAGTATATGCATTGTTCTGTATAGTAGGCTCTCCCATATGAGTACTAATCAGACCTGATCTTTTTTAGCTTCTGAGACTAGACAAATTCAAGTGTGTTGAGGGCAGTATGGTGGTAGACTGGACTGAATATATGTTACAGGAGATGTGATGTGACTTTCTTGGAGAGACTATTAAAGCATCATCTACATATTCTAAATACTCAAAGGGCTGACACACCAAAAAAGTTTCTGTCAAGTCAAGTTTGGCAAATTCATGATTTTATGGGCAGCTGCATTAATCAAAATTGCACCCCCCGGTCAATTTTAGTATCTGCATACCTTAGTACTTGTAAGATTTTGTAGAGATAGACAGGAAAGAGTGGTGTTTGTGACCTCTCTTCTCCAGTGGAGAATGTCAATAATCCCATTATCACAGATCTCTATCCATGCTCTATTGCTCTGTTTATTTCAATGCCATTACTGTAGACCAAGCTCTCCAATGGGCCACCAAAGCCACCTTGCTTCTAGGTGATAATGGATGGCAAGCTGTACTGCAGGAGGCCATACTTAGTTTCTCTCACATTTCATCTCCACCTACAGCAATAGTGATGTGATTAGGAGGCTCAGTAATGGCCTTTACCATCCCATTGGGGTAGGTGAGTGATTTTATTCAAGAGGCAAAATATATTCTAGATGAATAAAATGTTTCCACAGAGGATATCGTGAGTTTGGGGGTGTTATTGTTCTTTAGGTTCTGAAATGTATGAAAGTCTTGATGCTTTCCTGGAGTATAGAAATAGGTTCATTTTTCTTATCTGACTAAGAATTGAAGGGCAGGAAAGAAGTGAAATTGTGGGGCGTCTGAGTGAAGCCATCACTTAATATGGGGAAACATTGGGTCCCTTCTTGGGTTCCAAGTCTTATTAATATGCGAACTTTAGAACTGAGTCACAAGGAAGAGCAAGGCCAACCTATTAGAGCTTAAAAGAAAAACCTCAGGTTCAGGCCACCTGTAAATCTTGCAGCGGCCCAGGGGAAAATGGAGAAGAGAAGGTGGGATGGAGCCATTCTGTTTGAAATTAAAAACCAAACAAACAAACAAACAAACAAATAAACCATGGAGGTCAGTCATATGGCCAGGGAGATTGTTTAGAAAGAAAGGAAAAAAGGTCTAAAATGTTAAGGAATTTAAAAAAAACCAGGCAAGAGGCTCTAAATCTGTGACTGCCATGGAGGTAAAGAATGAAGAAAAGGGGGGGGGAATGATCCATGTATAAAAAATCAGCCTAAAGGAAGGCCTGTCACGTGGCAACAGACAGCCTCAAGGTGGGCAGCAGAGCTTGAGTGAGGGAGGGAGAGAGGAAGAGAGGAGGAAGGAGCTGGAAAGTGCTGGCATCTTTATGCTCTGTCAAACACCTGAAAAAAGAAGACAGAAAAAGGCAAAAGGAATAGTTCTGTCTCTTGGAGTCAGGGCTCAGAAAGGCAGGTAGACCCAGCCAAGTG